TATATATATATATATATATATACAAATAACAAAATGTCTGCAGTCTTTTAGCAGCAGATTCAGACTGTCAGCAGATTCGAGCAGAAAGTGACAGCAGCTGCCATCACCTATATCCGCATTAGACTTGTGTTCTGTTAATATTGCCTGTCGATATAATATGAAGACAAATTGTTGGCAGAAACTGAGCAGATCCTACCAACATTATCTGATGCTTGTAGATTCTGTTACGTTTTTTTCTAACAGTCTGTCAACAATATTATGTACATCTAATTATGTTGTTATTTTGTTGGCATATAGTGTGTAGCACACATTTAAAAAAAATCTGCTTTTTACAGACTTAGCTATCTGGGTGTATATACGCGCGCGCGTGTGTGTGTGTGTGTGTGTGTATGTGTGTGTGTGTATGCTATAGAGAAAAGCACATTAAATCTTATTGACCTTTATCGCGACCGCCCGTAGAACAACTCCTTCCATGTTTTTCCTTCGTTCGTAGAGAGATAAATTTGTCAAAGGAACAAATCCTTCATCGTCTTTCCATTCTGCCAGGTCAAAAATTTTAACGGTTTCGCCTTTGATGGAATACCATTCTCGCAAAATTATCTCGTTGTTACACAATACCAACATTTGCGTGTCGAACGCCAGATTAAAGGGATTACCGATCGGCTCATGACAATAGTCATGGATGTTGTTGTCGGGGGTATAAAGAAACAGAATAAACCACACCGGAAAGGACATGGAGTAGACCTTAACGGCATCCACAAACTCTAGATATGCCTCGAAGTCGAGTAAAATGACGGTGGTAATAGGCTGGATTATTTCATGATAGTATTTAAGCGTTCTCCACAAGTTTTTAAAGTGCACGTCCATAGACATTATGTAATATCGGCTCAACAAGCGAGAGCTTGTATGTATCAGATGCGTAATTCGTAAATCTACGGCAAGAATTTTGCAAAATCAGCAACAACTCAAATATTTAAAATTCTGACAACTCTGTCAAGTTCTAGAAGATTAAAGTATATTAGCAATTTTATCTTTTTTTATACAAAAAAAAATGTTTGAATTAACTAGAATCCTAGTAGAAGATCAACAATTCAAAATTGTAGTTAAATCTAAAAGATTTAAATATAATAAAATTCTAATTGAGATAACCAACATTCAAGAGATTTAACCAAAAATCTTGTAAATTTATACCTAGAATTCTGGATTGTTCATTTTCTATCAAATATTTTTTTCCGTGTACTTTCTAGCTTTACAATTTTATAAATTTATGAGATAGAAAGAGAAAACAATTAGAAAATATTTCAAAGCGGAGTCGTATAAGAATAACTGCTATTAATCATGATAATCGACGTTGCAATGTTTATTGACTAAACATTTGTTTAGTTAAAGTAACACGTTGAAACGTAATGCCACTGTCACGGTGATTGACACTATCAAAATTTTTTTAATGCTTGTAAAGAAATAAACGCTATCTAAAGATGGAATCACATACTCGATTTCTTGAATGATAGCATGCATACAGTCATACCTGATGCATGCTAAAATTCGTTCATGCATTGAGCGCTGCATATTGCATATATATATATCAGAGTTGGATAGTAACTAGTTAAAAGTTAAAAAAAAAAGTTAAAAAGTTAATAACTTTTAACTTAACTTAGTTAATTTAAATGCATTAAATTTTAACTAAGTTACTTTTAAACGTAACTTTTTAACTTTTTTTAAGTTAAAAAATTTTTTTATCTCTTTTAAATATCTTAGAAAAATAATATGATATAATAAGACTAAGAGCATATATTTGTAATCTGTTCATATTTTAAGACTATCTTAAGTAATTTCTTAAGATGCTAATATAGTCCTGATTGATTATGCGATTATGCCTTATGCCATAAGTCTTAGTCTGGATCTACATATATGTTTAAAGCCTTAAGTCATAAGAAATTGATCAATTACAGACAAATATTCTCACATTCGATTGTAATTGATTAATTTCTTATGGCTTAAGACTTATTAAAAAGTAATCACTGATCTTGTATCTTCTCTATATGCTGGCTGTTTTTTTTAAGTTATAATTTATATAATTATATCGTTATGTATTATATACTTATATCATATATGAATAAAAAAATTAAAAATTTAATTTATTTAATCTATATGTAGTTTAATCTCATTTTAAGAAAAATTAGGACATTATGATAAAAAATAATTTTTTTCTAAATTAACTTTTTTTTTAACTTAAGTTAATTCAATATTGACTTAACTTACGTGAAATTAATTTTTTATTCCTTCAACTTTTAACTTAATTTTATTAATTTTGTGAACCCAACTTTAACTTTAACTTTATTCAGTTAAAAAAAAACATTAACTTATCCAACTCTGATATATATATATGTGCATTATTTTTATATTTATTATGTTTATTTCATATTTCATAGTTTATTTCCTTGCACGAAACAAAAGAAATAATTACTAATTTCATAGTTAATTTGTCAAACATCAAACTGTATGCATTAAACCAAGCATAGCAGCATGCATGAGTGCATGCATGCGTGCATGCTTATCATTCAAGAAATCGAACATCGTGTGATCCACCTTAATATAAAATTTTAATATAATGATATAAAAAATAGATAGATAACAATAAAAAAAATAATAAATATGCTAATCAACACATAATCATAATTTTGGATTTATAAAATTTGCCAGTAAGGCAACATATTAATATATTTATACATAGAAAAAAATAATACTGTATTAATAGAATTAAATCTAATTATAAATAATATATCCTGCTAACTCAGAGTCGGTTGTTTCATCTTTAGATAAACTATAAGATAATTTACTTATTAGATAAACAAAAGAGTAAAAGAGATTGATAAGATTATTTATAATTTATTTCTATTTAAATTATAATGCATCATTTTTCTGTATACAAGAGATATCTTACTAGTAATAATATCGTTTAAAAGATATTTTGAACTGACCCCCATAATCTCCATATATATCTCCAGGATGGACAAAAATGACGGACGCCGCATCAGAGCCCACATAAAATTTTCGGATGTCCAGTATCACATCAACAAAGGTATCGGCGTTGAAGTCCTTCCTTGCCGAAGTTCCGAGAAGAACGCAAAATAGCATTGAATACAGTGAACAGAGCGATAATCTCATTTCGTTGGAGAATCGGTTCAGAGTTTACAACGCAATAGACCGGAGAGACTAACTAAACGGCTAAAATTTCTGCTAAGCAGAACAAACGCCTCTCTGTCGAGTACGTGGGGTAAATGCAGGAACATTGATGCATAATAAATGCTTCAGATAACGCGTCACGGAAAGAACTTTGTTGAAATATCAAAAAATTTAGCTAGATACAGATCTGAAAATAATTTTGTTAAACTATGAAAATATGTAGAAAGCACTTAAGCTTGTTGTAAATTATGTAGAAAGCACTTAAGCTTGTTATTAGAATGTCATATCATTTTGCAATATTGTTCATGCTTGAATTCCCATATAATTATTTTAGTGGTCCAACACAATTGTTTTCTGTATCTACTTACATTTTTAGATTCTTCAAATAAACTCGTACTTTCCGTGAATAATTCCGCGATGTGGAACTAATTGCGACCAATCAATCAAGCACAGTTTCTTTCAATCGCTTTTTTTACGTCATCGCATTAAGAATCAACGATTCTTGAAAATATTTATACTGAATAATTAATGCAATAAGAGGGAAGATATCGCATAATTAATTAAGCGCATTCTATGACTTTCTCGATTATTGATATCACAGTAAATTAAAATTATAGAAAGTATGTTTCATTAAGTATATTAAAAGTAGTTCAAACAATAAACACACTCAAAGATATTGAAGTAAGTGCGATTAATTTTTAGATTAGATCTGCGCTGACAATGAGTCGCATAACGATACAGAAGTGAATGTAAACACAATGCAAGATTTTTATTACGCAAAAAGTTGTTGATTTTTACATCCTTTACCAATCATTGACAAATATTCAAAATATTGACGTTCATATCCGACCCTGGATATGTCCATAAGAAAGTGCACATTTAAATTTATAATGCGGCATCGAGAGTTTATATTCTGTGAGAATATAAACTGACCAATATCAGTACCATTAGAAAATTACGATCGGAAATGATCGGCAGATCGCATCTTAAACATGCGTTGTCAGAATGGACATTATCAAATATAGTTGATAGACAACATTTATTTTCTTTTATTTTTCTTGAAAATAGGAACATTATTTTCTCCAACTAGATTAAATCATATATTTTTTATATAATATAATTATATCCCAGTAAAAAATTTTTCATGCATGAATATGTATAAATATATATACGTATGAACATACAAATACGCATAAATATTTATAAACATATATAATTATATATGAAATATGTCCATAGATCTTTATATATCCTTTTTTCTTTTGTAAAATTATTCTTTAGTGTAATAGAAATAATAATAGTAATGAAAACATTAAAAATAATTAAAAAGATAATTTTCGCATTTATATTAGAAAAAAATCAAGTTTAAAGAAATGTAAAAAAATTACTTATGTGTAATTATAAATAAAATTATGCATAATTATGTATGAGCAATTTTTTTTACATTTTTCCAAACTTTGTTAACCTATCGACTTCATTAACATACATTATAAGTTTAATTTCAAATTCTGCAAATATTTATATAATATCTAAGTCCCATTTTGAGAAAATAATTTTGCAATTTTCAGAAAAAATATGAAGAGAAATGTATTTAAATATATTAAATATTAAATATTATATATTTTATATATATTGTAAACTGTAAAATATTAAATATCTTTTTACATAATTATGGTAACATTATATATCTATAATAGTATCTATAATTTAATTTAACCTAGATTCTGAAAAATAAATAAAAAACAAATTTATAAATTACAGCAACAGCTCTATTGTTGCGGATTACGAACAATTATTATCTCTAAGTAATAATTAATTAAAATGTAAAAAAAAATACAGAGATAGCGACGTCAAGACATTGATAATGTGTTTATATACATCTGTCATATCTGTTTGTAAAATTGCTTTCTGGACAGTGCTAGATTACTCTCGAAGTCATATACATTTATGTATATGACATGATTCATCGATCGCGACTGAAAAGAGCTAACCACCATCAAATTTGCCTAGTAATCATGATACCAATATATGATTCAACAACAACTGTGTGAATAACCTTGTTTTACAACAATTTACTAATTTAATTATGAACAATTATTAATGCATATCAGAGAATTAATAATTGTTGACACTGTCATTTGATCAGAGAGAATCAATGATATTATTTTTATTATTGTTTTCTAATATTTCCTTGTAAAGCCTTCCTCATGAAGCTGTCTTTTCGAATAATTCTAATTAGCCGCAAACGTATTTATATTATCTATTCAAATTATAATCGCGATTAATATTATTAATTACTTAATTGTAATAGTATTTTTTTCTAAATTGTCTATCTTGTCAATAAACTTTCATTATATTATATTGCTGTTTTATGCTGCTTTTACGAAAATTAAAAAATGTAATTATTTTGAATTTCTCGATCGCGCAACGTTCATGTATTATAGTACTGACATAGTTCTCAGTTATGGCGCGTTTATTTCTAATTATGCAAAATGTACGGTTATTTTAGCCTTATCGCCACTATGCTGTCCGTAATAATGCGAATATAGCAAACTAAGTTATATAAACGCGACGATGGCCGTTCACGCGCATAGACAAATCTAGAAAATGAGTCGCGCGCATACGTGTACAAAATCGTGGCGAGTGAATGCGCACTTTTCCCTGTTACTTTCGAGACGCTTCTGGAT